TTTTTTTTTAAACAGAGTCTCGCTTTGTTGCCCAGGCTGGACTGGAGTGCAGTGGCATGATCTTGGCTCACTGCAACCTCTGCCTCCTGGGTTCAAGCGATTCCTGCCTCAGTCTCCCAAGTAGCTGGGATTACTGGCAACAGCCACCAGGCTGGCTAATTTTTATATTTTTAGTAGAGCTGGGGTTTTGCCATGTTGGCCAGGCTGGTCTGGAACTTCTGACCTCAAGTGATCCACCGCCTCAGTCTCCCAAAGTGCTGAGGTTATAGGCGTGAGCAGCTGCGCCCAGCCACTCTGTACTTTCCATTTGGAAAAGGACAGTTCTTCATAATTTGTCTCTCCCTTACCCTTGTTGCCACCAACTAAAATGATGAGCACATTGCCCAACAACAGAACACTGGGAAGAAACATAACAAAAATGTCAAACTGTTTTCACTTCACCTCTCATTACATTCAAAACTCCTCATCGGTAATATTAATCTTCCCTAGCTCCATGGCTTTGAAACAAAGTCTCATTTCTTACTACTTTCTTTTCCCCCAAATAATAGGTTTGGCTACTGATTTAGCCAGACCTTGTTCACTTTCAAGTGAAGGAACCAACTTAAAGCAGATTAGGCAAAAGGAGATGCTCTAGTAATTCATTGTCTCCAGGATTCTGATCTTGAACTCAGCATCCATGGATTCAGATGGCAGCATTAACATTGTTTCCCATCTCTTAGGTGTTTTTTGAGTTGGCTTCACGCTGAGGCAGGTTTTTCTGAAGCAAGGGCACAGGTGGCTAGGTTTCTATCACCCCTCAGCTTGTTAGCTCAGGGGAGCAAGAATCTGTCTGAATGTCCTGAAAGGATGCTGATTGAACTTCTGAACCAGTCACTGTGTCTGGCCTGAATCCTGGGCACTCAGGAAAGGAAGGCAGAGCCCTATACCAAAGTCTCTTAAAGATGGGAGTAGGCTCTTCCTAAAGGTAAAGGATACAGAACACAGGGGTAACCAAGCAAACAAAGAGAATCTCAGTTACCACTATCAAGACCTTGGATGTTTGCAATTTTATAACTTAATAGGCCTTAATGATTTCCATAGGGGCCCTGGAAAACTGGAAGATGTATGTCTGGAAAAGAGTCTAAGACCAGGCTTCTGGGCCAAATGGCTGCAATGCTTGGTAAGCACCATCTTATCAAGGCCCACCTCTCCACCCGCTTCCACCAGCCAAGAAAATCTCTGTTGCTGCTTCATCAAAATTTCATTTATGAGGGACAAAGTGTTATTAGGTAGTCTACCGTGTGCTTTAAGCAGGAGGGATCTTTGCTATGAATGAATGTATATAACTTGTAAATATGCAGACACAAGGAACTTTATTGCAACCATTAAGATGTCTGGATTGCTTTTCCTGCTGTCTGCCCAGCAACACAGTATTTGCCCTCCAACTCTTTTGCTCACTGTAGCTGTCTTTCACTGGAAAAGGTAGAGAATGGCTCATATGTGATGGCTGCATGCTTTGATCATTGCCTTTCTTCCCAACAAGTCCTCATCTGCCTTTAGCACTGTATTGCCGTTAGAAAAATTAAAGCCTTTTTCTGGTTCAGAAGAAATACCATGAATGAAGAGGAGAATCTAGTAGATAATAAAGATGATTAGAGTTTCTTGGCAGACATGTGCTATCAAGGAGATGAAATAAAACATTTAATTACTACAAACAGCTAAAGAGCAATTGGTAGTAGGCATTTCCTTGTTCTTTGCATTTGAAATCTTAGGTAGCTTTGTTTTTGCCTCAAAGAATTTTGATTTTTTCTTTTGGGTCTAGTAATAAAAGCATTAAGGCCATTAACATAAAGTGTTTGAAAATGTTTTTCTTTTTTAACCACTTGTCTTTATTACTTCACTGCCTGAACAGCAAGTCATAAATGCCATATTCAAATCACACTGAATTTATTGAGCATGTGAATGTACATAGCTGCTATGGCATAGTGTTACTTGGAAGTTAAACTTCATTGAAAATATATTTTTCATTCATCTCCCAAGCAAGAAAATCAGGATTGATTATATTTTTAAAAGCAAATTAACTTTAATAGCACCTTGATAGGTATAGGTTTCTTTCTAGCCCTTCTGATTTTTGTGTACATGTGTTTCACTGCAGTGAACATCTTTCTCATCGTTCTACTGAAGGATGGCAGAATATGCTGCCCAAAATATGCCACTTTGGCATAAGGATTACTTTGAGCTAAAGGCACTTGAAAAATAGCAGATGCAAGAAGGGCATTTGAATTTCCTCTTTTCTTCCTGAAAACAGGAGATAAAAACTCCCATGTGAAAAATGGCTTCACTGTACCAAGAGGAAAGAAACATTACTCAATAAAGAGTCAAAGCCAAGTGCATTCTGTACCAGCAACTTTGTTAAAATAATTTTCTCCCTTTATCCTCCCCAAATAATTTACTTTTCCCACAGTTACCTCTCTTTGTTCAACCAAATATAAAAGCATTCAGGTTTTGCCACTTCTTTGGGTCTTCATTTCCCTAATGAGGGCTCTTATGTCATATAAAACTTTTATGAAATTTGAATGCTTTTTTCCTGTTAATCTGTTTTATGTCAATTTAAGTCTCAGGTCCATCTGGGACTTAGAGGGTGGAAGTAAGGTTTTGCCTCCCCTACAGTATACACAACTACGTGTAGTCCTCAAATATTTTCCTTAACAGAAATCCCTGGAACGAAGCAAACTGTTATCAACTACCCTGCCAGGCCCTGTGCTAGGTACTTGGTAAACCCATCTCACTTAATCCCTTGATGCCAGGATTAGCACTCATTTTGTTGACTTGGAGACTTAAACTTGAGGTATATCAGTAGCCTTCCCAGCGTCATACAGGTTTCTCATCTTAGTTCATCTGATCCCAAAGCCCTTACTTTTTCAAGGACACCATCTCTCTGTTTGCTCTGAATCAGTATACAGTTAAAAGCCCAGGCTCTGGAGGCAGATTGGCTGTGTTCAGATCCCAGATCTATCACTTACTTGCTGTAGAACCTCAAAACTTAATAATCTTCTCCTGTGCCTGTTTATTTGTGAGAAGAGAAACAGTAAGTGCACATGCCTCCTGGTTTGTTGTGGGGATTAAGTGAAGTCACACCTGTAAGCCACCTGGAATAAACTCTGACCCACCATTCAATCTGTGTAACAGGACCCCCTTCTCTGTGGAGGGTGTGTTCCAACACCCTCAGTGGAGGCCTGAAATCATGGACAGCACCAAACCCTAAATACACAATGTTTTCCCCTATATATAGAAACATACTGTATTAGTCAGGGTTCTCTAGAGGACAGAATTAATATGATAGATATATATATGAAGGTGAGTTTATTAAGGAGGATTGACTCACGTGATCACAAGGTGAAGCCCCACAATAGGCCATCTGCAAGCTGAGGAGCTAGGAAGCCAGTCTGAGTCCCAAAACCTCAAAAGTAAGGAGGCCAACAGTGCAGCCTTCCATCTATGGCTGAAGGCCTTGAGACCCTGGCAAACCACTGGTATAAGTCCAAGAGTCCAAAAGCTGAAGAGCTTGGAGTCCGACGTTCAAGGCCAGGAAGCATCCAGCATGGGAGAAAGATGAAGACCAGAAGACTCAGCAAGTCAAGACCTTCCACATTCTTCTGCCTGCTTTATTCTAGCTAATCTGGCAGCTGATTAGATGGTGCCCACCCAGACTGAGGGTGGGTCTGCCTCTCCAGTCCACTGACTCAAATGTTAATCTCCTTTGGCAACACCCTCACAGACACACCCAGGAACAATACTTTAATTCATCAATCCAATCGAATTGACACTCAGTATTAATCAGCACACATAACTGTGATAAAGTTTAATTTAGGCCAGGAACGGTGGCTCATGCCTGTAATCCCAGCACTTTGGGAGGCTGAGGAGGGCGGATCACAAGGTCAAGAGATCAAGACCATCTTGGCCAACATGGTGAAACCCTGTCTCTACTAAAAATACAAAAATTAGCTGTGTGTGGTGGTGCCTGCCTGTAGTACCAGCTACTCAGGAGACTGACACAGGAGAATTGCTTGACTTCAGGAGGCAGAGGTTGCAGTGAGCGGAGATTACATCACTGTACTCTAGCCTGGTGACAGAGCAAGACTCCATCTCAAAAAAAAAAAAAGGTGTGGTGGCACACACCTGTAATCCTAACTACTCGGGAGGCTGAGGTGGGAGGATTGCTTGAACTCAGGAGGCAGAGGTTGTAGTGAGCCAAGATCGCGACACTGCACTCCAGCCTGGGCGACAGAGTGAGATTCCATCTCAAAAAAAAGTTTAATTTATAAATTAGTTACAGTAGAGATTAACAATAATGAATGAGAAATAAAATGAAATCTTAAGCCCTCCAGCTGTCTGGACAGAATCCCCTCTTGGCCAAGGGGACCCCAGAATAACCTTGAAAACCTTCTTCCCCTCTAACTGCCAATAGGCTTTCTTCCCTAAGGTCTAAACAGAAATCAGCCCTTTCAAAAGACTCTACCACTGGTATCACGACCTGATGCTGCCCCTCCCTTTTTCAGTTTTGGCACAACTGACCAGCAGTTCTTGATAAAAGACCACCGACCACGGAGTAGTTGTGGCCAGTCTCTGGAAGACATGCAGTCAGGGTTTTCATGTCCCCTGCTTCACCTTTTGATGTCAGAGGGCCTAAAACTCCTACCCTGGATCATGTGAACACTGCCAATTTTGGAACATGGGTCCCATGGAGAGGCATAAAGTGCAATTGCGCATGTGCACCTTTCTCTTTGCATAAATATTCATGACTCCTCCTATAGCTTATTAAATCTGTATATTTGGCCACCCCACACTGCATAGATTCCTGCTGCTTTTTCCCCTCCCTTGAAGTGTCTGTTTCTGGCTTCTGGCATGAGGTTGTGCTTTCCAGCCTGTTGGAATGGCAGCCCTGCAGACTGCAACCCTTTATGAGAATTAAAGCTCTTCTTTCCAACTTTATGAACCTCATCATCCTTCAGTTGACACTAACAGTAAAGTACAGCAGTTATAACAATATGGTATAATAAGTTATACTGTGGTTTCTCTCCAAAAATATCTTAATATTTTTGGACTGTGGTTGACTGCAGGTAACTGAAACCACAGAAAGTGAAACTGCAGATATGGAGAGGGAGCAGGAACTACTATATAATCATTGGCTGTTGTCAGTTATATTTATTGTTAATAATGTTAGTATTGTTATCACCACCATTTCTCCCCAAACATCCATGGCTTCCAGTATCAATCCAAGGTGGAATGTGGGTCTGGATGACTTCTCCATGCAGTGCCTAAACTTCATTCTAATATTCATATTTTATGGCTGCATTTTCTCATCTGCATTTCTCTGGACAGAGCGTAAAGTGGTGTTTTGAGACTTAAAAACTCACATCTCTTCTCCACTGTTTTGAGTAATGACAATCTGCTCTCTAGGTAGGAGTGCTACTGAAGGACACTGCTGATTTTCACAGTCACAGGGGTAGCCCCACTGGTGGGCTGCTTGGTAATGTAAGTGAATGAATACCTTAGCAAGAAAGAGCACTGAAAAACCATCCCAATTGCTGACAATAGCTTTTATCTAATTTTCGACTTCCCCCTTATATCTTGGCCGCTGAACTTTTTTGACTCAATTTTTGCAGAATTCTAGATAGCAGGAAGCTTTTATGAACCTAAGTCCAGATTTTAATTTGGAAGGAAACTGAAACAGATGAATTTTCTCATTGTAAAAAAAAATTAATGCCTTGATAATACATTTGTTTTTCATAGTAGGCCTTTGTCATTAAGACTGATGCCTGAGGATATAGTTGGATCTCGTGTGGAGCAGTAAGTTATTACTCACTGCATACCAGATTCTAGCATACTTGCATTAGTTCATGAAATATGATTTTACATTTAGTATTGCCGTTCCAGTGCCATTATCAGATTGCATTTTCCTACTGAATTACAAACAAAAGTGTTATGCTACTAACATGTAACAAAATTTTAATAAGGCTGTGTTTGGCTGGGCGCGATGGCTCGCGCCTGTAATCTTAGCACTTTGGGAGGCTGAGGCAGGCGGATCACCTGAGGTCAGGAGTTCAAGACCAGCCTGACCAACATGGTGAAACCCTGTCTTTAAAAAAAAA